GGGTTTTCAGAACCATGATTTTAATCTGAGACATTCACAAAATTAAGAAACAAGTTTGTATTTTAAGCACTCCCCCAAATTGTGGAAGTTTGCATCATGTTCTTATTTTTAAACATCAAAAATGTCTTATGCTATTCTAATATCAACAGAAACAGACGGGGGGGGGAGGTAGGATACATAGACATAACTCTCATAAATGGATTTAGATTCCTTTTTATCTCCATGGTATTTACAGTTATGACACTGAAGAGGCCACATGACTTCTAAAAAGAAAAGATCTGGAGTTTCTTGATCTGTCCTCAGAGCCCTTCACACTCAAAATTATGGGGCTCATGTTTTAATATCAAAGCACATGTTTTAGCTACCAAAAATCCATATAGGTTAATATCTGAATTTTCTCCTAAAAATCACCAAAGGTCTTTTGTTTTCTTCTGACTTTGGGATTTTGTGTGTCCAGGGAAATAATCATCTACACTGCAGTAAAGGAGAAAGTAAACACTTAGCAATCCATTTGTTTGGTTGAATTACTTCCAGATTGTCTGAGAAATAGCAAAAGGACTTTTTGTATTTATGATTCCATTTCTGCATATTGTGCACATGCATCTAGATTGTTCTGTGATGATTGCAAAGAAGGACCTTGAACAGTTTATACTGATTAAATTATGAGAGAGAAGCAATTTATTGTAACAAGAGTCCTTCAAGGGTTAGTCTAGGTCTTGTTTTATTGATCAATATATGAATGAGCTTGATTTATATGGAAAAGGCATGTCTTTTTAAGGGTGGTCCTCAAAGCCTATTTCATTACTAAAGGCAATATAGAAAGTCATGCAACTTTGTTACTATAAAATCAGTATATGATATAAAATGTTGTTTTGCCATTGCGCCCGCACATAAAGTCATTTGTGTTATTTTAGCTCTTCACATGGTCCACATTCCCTTATGATGTATTAATATTTGCAAGTATACACACAATTTTTGTAGCTGACAGTGGCTAATCTTACATTTTTCATAAATTCTAGTAAAAGAATGTATAACCGCCCTTTAAAGGCCTCTGGTACCACATTACCATGACCTTGGCAACAGAGCAGCCAAGATTTGTAAATTATGTAAGGTATTCAGGGTAAAGGAACCTTCCATATGCACCTGTAAAGGGTGCTCCTAGAAGAAAAGCTGGAAAGACCCAGGAATTGCCATAATGTGCATGGTAGTACAGCTTCAATCAGAGGGGCAGACAGTGCCTTCATCTCCTATGGGCCATATCGTAAAGATTACAGCATGCTCCAGGGAGGTGGAAGGCAAGACCTAAAGCTCATCATGTTGAGGGAGAGATTAAATCACCTCTTGGCTGAGTGGGCTGTACCATCTACTGCTTTTTTTTTTTAACACATAAGTGGATCCTGTTCAGGGTTTGGTAGAATGGCTAGAGGTAGAGTCTTTCAGACCGTGGATCCCCTCTCTGCAGTGTGTCCTGCTGTCATCTCTCCCATCCTTCTCATAGGAATACTTAAAATCACATTCATGATAAGAACTTTGAAGGTCCTGGCCAGTATCCCTGAGCTCCCCAGGCCGGCACTCAGGGGCCATGGTCCCCTCCCGCCCCTGTCAGTCTGCCACTGGATTTGGGTCAAACCAGTTTATGAAACTTCAGTCCCAGACCTCTTCTTGATTCAAGTTAAATCACAGTCTCTCAGCATAATTTACAGCTCTGTGCTGTTCTGTCTGCTCCAGAGAGCAGGGCTGGCCCCACCCCTCCACTCCCTATCTGGAGCAGTGAGGGCTGGCTGACAAGGGCGGGGGGGGGAGGCAAGTACAGCTGGGGATGCAGCCCAATCTACGGGGGGGTAGAGGGACTGCCCACTCCCCCCCAACAAACCATGGCTAGGGTCTGGGGCCAGGAAGGGAGGCTAAATACCCCTTCCCCTGCTCAAACTTACTGCAACTGTGGACTACAAATCCCAAAGGGACCTGGAAGCAGGAAGAGGAAGTGATGAGCAACACTGCAGAGTCCTGCTGTTGTAATTCTGGACTGAAAATCCCAGAGACCTCAGTGACAGCAGGAAGAGGAAGTGAACACACAGCCAGAGAGCAGTGCTCTAGTGCTGCCCAGCATCTGACCTGAGCCACTCAAGCATGTAGCTGCATTTCCTGAATCAAAGGTAAATGTCTGTTCACTTCTGTTTCAATTTAATCTGTGCAGTTTAAACTAACCTGCAAAGACTGAATCGATTCAGCCTTGGGCTTTTTGACTGTCTGTATGTAGCCCAGGTGTTTTGGATCACTATTCTGAGGGACCTAACTCTACAAATGCACTGGAGGAGAAACAAGTGAGCCTAATCCCAGATTCTGGGCTCTACTCAAGGCATCAGGTACCTAAAAGTTAGACACTGCAGCATCTAACTTTTAGATACCCAAGCCCTTTATTTAATCTAGTCCTCTGTGCAAGAAAATACTTCCACAATAATCCAAATAGTTTTCCCTGTGCTTCTTTATGCCAATGGCTCATTCTCATTGGTTTTATTATGCAAGAACTATGCTGAGTGGCTATATTAAAGAGATAAAAGCACACGGGGAATATACTTCGATAGGTTAAAAAAATACCTTGCACAATTTATTCAGGATTGAATTTAAATCCATGAGGGATGTGCTTTTAAAGCATATCATGTCTGGGAAATCGTATGAATGAAATGGCCATGGCAATATTGAGTTTAATCCAGTTCATTAAAGGTGCATTCCTTGGAACCTCACTGCACTTCTGGAAAAAAAAAACAACTAAAAATCAAATAGAAAAGTGAATTGAGTATCAAGGCTGCTGAAGATGACAAAACTTTCTATTCACCCATCTAAAATTAAGATCACTACAACCACTAATGCTCTCAGAATGGTTCAACAGTCTGTACAGAAAAAAATTATGAACTGAGTATGGAAACAAGAAACAAAACTCCCAAGTCTTAGTTCTGGCACTGGCTGTCTGACTTACAGGTCAGTCATGTATCCTCAGTTAACCCAATAGCCATAGTCACACCTCTGGGACAACAAAAGGCAGAATTGAAATCTTGGATTTAAAAAAAATCTGAATAACCTTTTATTTCTTCCTGTAATTTATGCATAGAAGCAGTAGAGAAGCTATCCTGGGAAGAGAGGAAAATGAAACAATAGCTACATTGAACCTAAGTGTAGAAATAGTTGCAGGAGATGACCCATGAGACAGAGAGCAACCGTTAGCATCAGTAAAGCAGGAGAGCATATATAAGCCCTAATAAAGCACAAAACAGTAGGCTTGATCTCAGTCATTCAATATATGCCTCATATATGTTATTCCTTCTGCCAAGCTTCTAATTTATCATCAGTTGCCTTGTTTGAAAATTACTTAAAGTGGGCAGTTTGTGGTGGCATAAAGCAGTCAACCAAGACTATTACAAAGGAAGAAACATTGGAATGATGTGTATTTATCTAAGAAATATTTGAAAACTTGAGCCTAATTCAGGGCTCCAGACTGCAATTCCATAGTTTACAGGAGTGAAAAAAAGAATGGCACTTTTTAAAACACTCGTTAAGTGCAAATGTTTCATCTTTTACTTCAGAGTGTGAGAGCCTCTCCAAGTCCCATAGATGAGGATTGGGAGCTGGCATATTTGAAAATAACAGCAAGTATTTTTAATTAAGCCTTCCATCAGCTTGTGACTTTGGGAAGTTTAGGGACCTTTTTCTTGTTTAAATAGTTTATTGTTTTTCAAACTGATACATAAGATAATATCATAAATACATATTTTAGAAATTCCAGAGTAAACAAAGTATGAACTGTTACTTACCAAGTGGGATTTTCCAATATCTCTCAGTTTTATTTATCAGACTTCATACTGTCATACTGGATAAACCAATTAATTTGAGCAGAAAGACTTCACACCTTCCCAAATGTGGTGTTAAGATGTCTTTAATATTAGTATTTTTAGCACAGAAGTTTGCCCTCGCATTCTTTTTTTGGCAAGCCATCAGTGATTTCCGTTAAACCACTCAAAAGTCATGCTTCTAATATTCATCTAGGCAGTGCCCGACTCAAAGCATGACATAAGGCATATCATCCATGACTGGAGAAGTCTCCTTATCTGAGACACTGAAGGAGTTACTCATGCACGCATGCACCTGGAAGTGTGCTTTACTTGATCACTAAGAAGCACAGTAGCAGCCACACTTCATTATCCCTGATCCAGCTACCACAGCTAAATCTTTCATACTGTTGACTGACTGTTTAAAACAACTTGACAATCATATGAAGGTGTAGTAGTATGAAATTTAAACCCTCTACAGCAAGGCTATTTAGGTTGTGCCTGTCCTACTTCTATGCTGGGTCCAGAAGCACTTCCATGAAGAACCCCAGCCTCCTGCTCCTTCTCCAAGCTCATCATGCTCCTTTCTCCACGTGCGCCAAAGCCTGGAAATGAGGCAATGTAGCTGTCTTACAGAAACCACGAGGACACACCACAGCATGGATCCTATGTGCTCTGTCTCAAGGAACCTTGTTGTCACATGCTCAGAAAGATCAAAAGTCAAAGGCTTTGTCCATGCTCTGAAATACTTAGTCGCATACCTCAATCTTGACGGGCCTCATAGATCTAAACCTTTTCCTCCCCAAATCTCCTGCCATCAAGCCATTTCCATTTGAGAAGGGGAACTGTGACACTGAAACTTGTCAGCAGCTGCTGCCTCTGGCACGCTCCAATTCTGGGTGGCAAGAACTACTGCCACCTTTACAGAGCTGGGCCCAGCTTCAGCCCTGGCCTCTAGCCAGCTGTGTTAGAGAGAGGGATCTTTGATTTTAAATCCTGTCAGCAAATGTCGCCTCTGGCTCAGTTTGACTCAGGGTGATTGGATTACAGAGCGAGGCCTAGGTCCAACCTGAATTGCCATGGCATTTATTTAAACACACTGAACCTTAAGTGGGAGGCTGGGAAAGAACCTTATAAAAAGCATGTCCTTGGGAAAGATTTTTTTTTTCTCTTCCTTCTTCCTCTTTTTAAGAAGCCCCAAAGACCCCATTCTTAAAAGACGAACAGGAAAAGGAGACTTGTAGTCCCTGATGTTTATGTGTTCCAGTAACTTCTGAAACTAGGATAGAGCAAAGGGCCTGGATGTGATCAAAGGTACTAAAGAATTGCTGGCTTTGGCTTTGGGTAGCAAAAGACTAGGGATTTGGCTTTTTCCCTCACCATCTGTTCCTTGTCCAGGGGAACGCCAGCCACTGTGTTGGCGAGTTAAGGAGGTCTTGCTGTAAATTGCCGCCTGTGGCATTTTCTTCTAATGGCAGTCACTTTTGCTAAAGCTAACTCTTTCCTCACCCTGCTTGATGGTGAATCTGAGCTAGACAGCCAAAAAAGCTTTGGCTGCGGCAGAATTTTCAACAAGCTGTGATTTGGCTCAATTTTTCCTTCTTTTTGTTTTTTTTCTTGTGTATTTTTTTGTTTGTTTCTTTGTCCATTTTGCAAAACTGACAGAAAACTGCTTAAAAATCGACGTCTGAGAAGACACACTGAAGTGAAACCTGCTCTCACCCAAGCAGAAACAATGCTATGAGGAAGATAATCTGCATCCTGATTATCTGGTGCCATTAGGAAAAGCCAAAACTGCCAGTGTCGCATCTGGCTGCTGCTGCTGCCACCTCCTTAGTCAACCTCCGAGAGAAAAATCTGTCCAGCTAACTTGATTGTTATGATGGCAAAAATGAGAAAAAGAGATCTGAAAAAAAGTAAGTAACAAATAACTTTAAAGCCAGGCCTTTATTTCATATTTATATTGTACTATACTTAACAAAGAAATAGTCTGTTTCAGTCCTACCTAGCTCAGAATGACACAATTGTCAATCTCTTTTTCACCTCGGCTTGGACATGTATTTGTAGAGTGCAAGTAGAGTACAGTCCTTTAATTTATTTGATAACCTCAGTTCCTGTCCACATCCGACCATAAGGCTTCAATATACACAATCTTTCTGCTTTCCCAAACTGGGAGGTATATTAAAAGGCCATGGGAAGTGATGTTTTGGAGACTCAGAAGTCTTCTTCAGCCATGATAAGTGTAGAGGATAAAGACAGGAGCTCGTGACTTGACCATCACAACACATATCAATCAACAGCATCTTCAAAGTTCACAAAATATTCTTTTCTGTAAATCGTTTAGTGTTAAATTACACTGATTATGTTACTCCAGGAAGTACAGAACCTCCATTTGGTGGTGACATGTTCTGAAGAGATATAACAATGCTGTAGCTATGTGGAGTTTGAAATATCTACTTTTAAAGCAAAAGAGATGAGCAAGGGATTAAATCATGTGATATGTGCCGTAGTTGAGTCTGATTCTAAGCTCACTGAAGGCATGCATCCCAAACTTTTAGCCTTCAATTTTATAGCAAAGGAAGGAAATCTGGAATTTAGAACTAATTTGTGATGACGATAGGAAGGAAAGAAGATACAAAGGTATGAATTAAATGAAGGGTATTGTGTATGTTTTCATCTGCTAAGATTATGGTAGACTATTAAAGTATATTGAGGGGTTTTTTCCATCACTTTTATTTCCTTTGTGTTGAAACAACTTTAAAGTAAAAATAAATAAATAAATAAAAACAAAGTAGTAATAAGATGCTTAAAAATATTACTGTTTACTTACTACTCTTTACCAATATCTTCAGAGAGCGTTTGAACTACTGAATTATTAAGAAATTACACAGGTACTGAAAAACACCCAATTTAATATTCACTCGATAGTCCATAAGAGAGAGTTTATTGGGCTGAGTCTTTAAAGAACAATGTTTAGCTGATGTTTTATAACCCACTGGACTGGACTGATTTTAACCCACCAAGTTAAAGTTTGCATCTTAAAACTCCATATTGTACAAGTAAAGAACAAATAAACCTCTATCCTTTTACAACCATAATGCTTTGGGGCAGGGGGAGGAGGATAGTGGAGTTAAAGCTAAAATGGGTTGAAATGAGTGAAACAAGTATTTTATATACTGAAATCAATTACCAAATAGATACTTTAAAAGTTGGAGGGGGGGGGGGGGTTTAGAGGAAAATAAAAAGATTAAAAAATGTATGTTCATGTATTCAAAAGTAAAAAAATAGTTTCAACTGTTTCTACAATACAGTTGTTTTTCTCCTTCAAACTTGTTTGCCATGTTCCAACCCCGAGTTAATTTTTACAAGTCCATTATGATAAGGTTATGATGTATGGAACAGTATAAAAAGAAGAGTAGACCACATTACTAGAAGAGGTATAGCTACTCTAGCTAGGGTTGATCTAAGGGAAAGGATTTATTTTTAAAAGGGAAGCCTTGGGAAATGTATCACCTTTAAATTACAAGGTACAAGGCAAATCCAACTTGCTTAAATCCACTCAAGTGCTGTTGTTCATTTCACTGGCTACTGGTATAAGTAATGTGAACACATTTGGCCTTATAAATTACTCAGTGCTAAATAACTCACCAGCTAAGGAATGCATTTCCCCCCCTCCACTGCAGATTGTTATGTGGTTTGCATTACCATTTGCTAAATATGGTCCTAATCCCACGAGAAGGATTGTCTGGGTACAAGAGTTCATCCGCCTGAACCCTTCACAGGCTTATAGTTAAGGGCACACTACTTGACTTAATCTTTAGTTATGACACCTTTAACTAGCTTTCTCCCTAGTCCCTCTAGAAATTTCTGAATATGAGAAAAATGTTTTAAAAAGAACATGCGATTCTCGTTAGCCAATAAATTAATGGGTTTGGATGAGAGAGAGCATTTCATTAATATCCTTGTTTTTCCCCTCCCTTCAGTACTGCAAATAGCTGGCTTGCCATGAGTCACTTTTTACATTTTTACAAAATGATCTGGCCCAGAACACACACACACACACACACACACACACACACACACAGTGTATGTGTGCCCTCTAAGTGCTCGTAAGTATATAGCAGTCTCTTGTGCACCACTGTGCTTTTTGTTTGCGAACTCATCCCTCTATTTCTTTCTAATTTCCCAACCAGCTTATTCCCCAAAGCCAGTGCATATTTAACAAAAAAAAATGTAAAACAGCACCATAAATCATCCAGCAAACACCCCAACTCTATTCATAGTCATACATATGTTGCCAGAGATACAGATAAATTTAGAGTCATAGAAATATACACAGACTTTGAGAAAATATGCCTCTAGACAGAAACATATTGTGCATATGCAAATAACTAAGTGTCTGGCACTGAAGCTTTGCCCTTTAGCATTCGCTTAACTGTATCTCTTTTCTACCCCTGCTCCCTCCCATCTTTCCATCTGTTTATTTTTTTTCAGACCTTCACTTAAGAATACGATATCACCTCTCAAAAATCAAGAAATATGGTGCTGCAAATATAACTGCCAGGTGTAACATATGATATTGCTTCTGGGAGGGAAAAAAAAGATATAAAGGAGGCTACATTCAAATTTTCTTACAAAGGTTACAGGAAATGGGTTTTATCCATTTCTTCTGAACTACGCTCATTCCTGGTTAGATTTCAGGTCTGGTTGCTATACTTTAAAGAAATTGTATAATCCAGGCCTTGTCATCAGCTTTCTTAATTTATTTCCCTGAAATGACAGGCCTGGCAAAGGCAGGCTAGCCTCTCAGATGTCTGGATTACACTGTAGCTATGGAAACAGGTGTTAAAGTGCTATGAATTTCAAGTTACACTGATACTCTGCACATCACGTTCTGTACTGATGACATGTTATTTTACATGCTGACCAATGCAACAGCATCAATCTTACTGATTTATAGAAGGCCATCATATAAAAAATTCTCCATGATGAACTTGGAGAGCTTTTCCTGAATTCTATGCTCTGTGTGTGTGTGTGTGTGTGTGTGTGTGTGTGTGTGTGTGTGTGTGTGTACGCCTGCATGCATATACATGTACAGTTATAGGTGGCCACACTTTGATTAAAGCTTCCAGTTCACTTAAGCAGAAGTTCCTAAACAGTATTTGCAAGACCTCGTCCATATTAGTGAATCTTTAGTTCTCTTCTTTATACTTTGTAAATGAAGAATATTTTCTGCATGTTATGCTGAGTGCCAGGCTACATAATTAAGGTGCCTTGCTCTAGCCTCAGATACATGAGTTTAAGCATCTCTCCTGACATGTGCTTAAGGCTGCTCCTGGGTAGCCCAGGTGTAAATAAATACCCAGTCATTTAAGCTATGGAGTTGATGATGCCTGGACATGGTACTAACCATATCAGCTCTATGTGTGCCATTGGCTATAAAAACTGGTCCTATAAAAACCTTAACCACACTGGGCCAATGAGCCATTTAACTTCAGCAGACCATTGAATATGCTGGGTACTGAGCCAATGACCTACGTTTTGTTATAACTTTAACTGTGTTTATATCATGAAAAAATATAAAATAGATCCCTAATTTAGTAAGGCCCTCATGGCAAACCTTGTGTGTCTGAGAAAGAGAGCCAGTGCATCCAGTACCTAGTTTTCCTGGATCTCTATAAACAAGCTCTGGGGTGGAAGGGCGGGTGCTTTAATTAGAGCAGCTCTGAGAGCCACTGTAATTAAAGTGCCCTCAGAGTCATGTGTATTCAGCATCCCATTCTTCAAAATGGCAGCAGGGGCACTTGAACTAAATCTCATTTGATGAACTTTAGTTTGAGTGCCCCCACTGCCATTTTTAAACATGGGGGACACTGAATAGATGTGACACGGAGGCTGCTGGAGCACATTAATTAACACGCTCCAGAATCGAGTCTGCTCTGATGCATGCTAATTAACACGTCTGAGCAGACATCCAGCATGCATATAGGTGTCTCCTATATGTATAGTGCCCTTGACAACATGCTGTGCACTTTTTCCCTGCTCTGACTGCACTAGAATAAGATGTTTCTGAGCAGCTGAAAAGAGCATCTACTATCAGCCCGTATAATGGAGCGGCAGAGGCAAAGCCTACCTCAGAGTCCTTTCGATGAAGATCACCTGTCTTTGCACCAAGGAGATAAAGTGTGGCAACAAGTGTTTTCTCTCTCTCATATATATATTCCCTCATGTACACACATGCATAGATGTACATGTATATGCATAGACGTGCATATGTATGTATGCATGTGTATAAATGTTCGTACATCTACAGTGTACATATGTTCAAACACTACATGCAGAGATGTATTCAAATGTGGGCATGTGTCTGGAACAAGCAGATGCATGAGGTCAAGTTTTCCAAGCCATGAATATCCCTTCTCCTCTTGTTTTATCCCATGTTCCTTCCGCTGTATCTTCTTTCATTTGTTCTCTTCTCATTCATGAAGTTTTGATTAGAGACTCTTAGACTCATTTACATGACCCCTAAGCAGCTCAGTGAACAGCTAAGTGCCTTCCACCTCCTTTGTGCACCAGGCCACAGCATCCTCAGGGTCAGTCCATCCTGTCCTGTATCTACTTGCATATCCATCAGGCCTTTATTCTTCACAGTTATTTATTATATCTCCAGCATCTGCTGATTGTAGTGACACAAACAGTTACAAAGTCAGGTGTGGCACTTGACCCTCATTGGGACATTAAGTCATCAGTGCTTTGTGATTAAAAGGTTTTCAATTTCCAGTGAGAGCAAAGTAGAACTCTTTGAGTTATTAATATTTTTTTCATTAAGACAAAACATTGATTGAAAGATGTAACAAGTGCAGAACTTTTGCTATACCAAACCAGATTTCTACTGGTCAGATAAGGAATAAGGTAT